ATTTTAGAATAATCTCTAGTCTATTTCCTAGTAGTGTTATTTGTACCTTTCTTAAGAAAAAGAATGTCTGCTTTATATCTCATGATTTTGACTGTAGTCACTTCTTAGCTGTTATTAACATTCTTACGAGCAGTTATGACCAATGACATCATTTTATTGTAATATCTGCTCAAGAGAATGCTTATAACTACATTTTTTCTTAACTGTAAGAAAACTAGATGTCAGATTTTCATTCTCCGAAGTGATATGGAAAGCTGAAATTCAATTAATGTATATTTATATATTTAGAAAAGATAACTACTTAGATTACTACATATACAATGTTTTAAAGACACAAAAACAAGTTTACTGTTTACTTACGAGTAAGATTATATGTTTAATCCTGAAATATTTTAATTTAAGCTAAGTTTATGCAGTTACAAGGTATTTAAGTCTTTCTTATTTAAGTGTATATTCACAGCTTATTTACTTAATTTGTGTTGTTATCAGCTAGTCATTTGATATACTCTACAATTTGTGTAATTGTTTCAAATTATTTTCTTGTTAAATGCCTTTATTTAATAAACATTATTCAATGTGTTTGTGTTCTGTGTTTCCAACCAATCACTAAAACCTATAGTGAATAAGAAAAAGATAGTTTGCCATTCTAAGTAAACCTCTACCAACACATCAGCTATAATAAAGGGGTATTCCACTTTCTGGGAAAAAGTTTTCATTATCATATCATAATTAATGTCATAAACTTTACCTGAAAATATTTCTAAAGTATGCTATTTATATCTATGTATCTTATGTATTTTAGTGTATAGTTTTCACAAATTTTTCAAAAACAGAATGTCCCTTTTTATACGCCCACATGAAATGGGGGGCATATATTGCCGTCACCTCTTTCCGTCTGTCCGTTTGTCGGTCCACAATTGCTCGTAAACACTCTACAAGGCACAATTCTCGACTGATTTTGACGAAACTTGGTATGGTTGTTTGTAATCACCAAAGGATAAACCCTATTGAAAATCAGACGAATCGAAAAATATTTACTATGAGTATACCCTCATATGTATGTTCTTGAAACGCTCGTAAACACTCTAGAAGGTGCAAATCATGACAGATTTTGATCAAACTTGGTATGAGTGTTCGTTATCACACAAGGATAAACCCTATCGAAAATCAGAAAAATTAAAAAATAATTAGTATTAGTTATTGCCCTTGTTCTTGAAAACGCGTTCAATTTTTAGTTCATAAACACTCTAGAAGGCACAATTCTTGACGGATTTTGACGAAACTTGGCATGAGTGTTGGTAATGAACCCTATTGAAAATCAGAAGAATCTAAAAATATTGAGTATGAGTTATTGCCCTTATTCTGGAAAACACGTTCAATTTTTAGCTTGTAAACACTCTAGAAGGCACAATTCTTGACAGATTTTAACGAAATTTGGTGTGAGTGTTTGTTATCACCCATGGATAAAGCCTATTAAAAATGAGAAAAATCGAAAAAATATTTAGTATGAGTTATTGCCCTTGATCTTCAATAAACGTTCAATTTGTAGCTCATAAAAAGTGTAAGACTGAAGGTTGAATATTTCATACTAGTGATTGTTACTGTACTGCTAAATATTTTTATTCAAAATCAAAGCTGCAAGTGAGCGTATATTACCTTGCCTGGCAGGCTATCTTAATACAATGACAAGAAACATCAATCATGTTTAACACTTCCATTTAAAACTGCTGCTATTAATGAACACACAAACTGCTGCTATTAATGAACTCACAAACAGCTGCTATTAATGAACTCACAAACTGCTGCTATTGTGATAGGGTGTATTTTTAAAGAAACTTGGTTGTTTTATTATTAAAGTTATGAACTGAGAACATCGTTTTTTTATATAACTGAGCTCGCTTCCCACCTGAACTAGCCCGGCTACATTTTGGCGCCCAACGTATATTTCAACGTAGAATACAACAACAACAACCAACACCACCAGAGAACCAACGTATACTTATCAGTGACATTAACATTAACTTTCATTGTGCTCCGTGATATTTGTGATATTTTTGGATGTGTTTCTTTTGGAATTCTTTACGGTATCGTTAATTTATTTTTCATAATCATTAACTATTGTTTTTCAACAATGGTACTTATTTAGTCTTATTATTAAGCTAAATTATCTCCCTTTATATTATCTCCCTTTAGTCCCATATTTTGTGTAGTAAGCATATTAAGTAATTTATATAAGCTTAAGTAATAATATAGAGCATATAGGGTTAATAAATTTAAATTTTGCTTTCATTGATATAGAATTAATATAGTAAAATGATAGAATTTTGGAATTAGGCCTATATTATATTTTGTGATATATAAATTTAAAGTATTAAAGTAAATAAGTTTATAGTTAACTTAAGTCAATTTCAATTAATTTAGTAAAGGTAAAGGTCATTAGTAAAAGGTCAAGGTAACAGGAAAGGATAAGTTTGATTAGTTCTATTTTTAATTTTCCTCTTTGGTAATATTATTTCATTCATGTAGTAATTTAGATTAATATTTTTTCCTATACATATTAATTTAGTTAGTTTAATAAATATAGTATAATTTTAAGTAAAGTGTGAAGTTTGTAAGAGTGTATGATTGTGTTAACAGTGTTGTAGGTAAAGTAAGGTTTAACACATATACTTTTTTTTTTTCTGTTCTCTCTAATTTCCAAATTTCAACTTTACTATTTCATCAGCGTGTCTTTCTGACGTATTCATCTTTATTCCCCCCTGAACTAGCCCGGCTACATTTTGGCTCCCAACGTTTTTCAAAGAGGGAAGGCATAAGATTGCGGACAGATGGGAAGAAGATGTGTACATCATCATCAACCAGCCAAACCCAGATGTTCCAGTTTATGAGGTAATTATAGAGAATGGTAAAGGTAATGTTAGGAAACTGCACCGTAACCATCTACTGCCTATAGGGTCTGTACCTATAAGTTTACCTGAGCCTACAACACCAGCTCCAGTGCCGAAACCTTGTCGCTGACGAACCCCTACACCACCACCAGCATCAGAAGAGGATATAGAGGAGGATATTATGATGGATGATTATGATATTGCATATGTGGTTTGGGATACCCTTTATGATCTCCCAGCTAGCCCCACTGAATTTTTATCAGTAGATGATAGTTGTGAGTTCTGTCAGAATGAGGATCCCATGGAGCCTGAGGTTCAAGATTCTGATAGTGGCGAAACTGTAGAGGAAGCATCCCCAGTACCTCATATCTGCAAGAAGGAGACAACTACCATCCAGATATCAAGACTTTGTTATGCACCAAGCTGTTGATACTTCACCCAACGTTGGTCTTGGAAAAGTCTTTGAGTATTTACAATCAGAGGAGTTTTGTAGTTTGTCTGCTGATAATAGAAAGTTAGTTGCTGATGCGTTGAAGTTTAAATATGGTTTTTAAATTGTTGATTTATAAGTTTTATAGTAATGTCAGGAGACATTTTCCCCGTAGGGAGGGAGTGTGTGATAGGGTGTATTTTTAAAGAAACTTGGTTGTTTTATTATTAAAGTTATGAACTGAGAACATGGTTTTTTTATATAACTGAGCTCGCTTCCCCCCTGAACTAGCCCGGCTACACTATTAATGAACTCACAAACAGCTGCTATTAATGAACTCACAAACAGCTGCTTTTAATGAACTCACAAACAGCTGCTATTAATGAACTCACAAACAGCTGCTTTTAATGAACTCACAAACTGCTGCTATTAATGAACTCACAAACAGCTGCTCTTAATGAACTCACAAACTGTTGCTATTAATGAACTCACAAACAGCTGCTCTTAATGAACTCACAAACTGCTGCTATTAATGAACTCACAAACAGCTGCTATTAATGAACTCACAAACAGCTGCTATGAATGAACTCACAAACTGCTGTTATTAATGAACTCACAAACTGCTGCTATTAATGAAGTCACAAACTGCTGCTATTAATGAACTCACAAAATGCTACTATTAATGAACTCACAAACAGCTGCTATTAATGAACTCACAAACAGCTGCTATTAATGAACTCAAAAACAGCTGCTATTAATGAACTCAAAAACAGCTGCTATTAATGAACTCACAAACAGCTGCTATTAATGAACTCACAAACTGCTGCTATTAATGAACTCCAAAACAGCTGCTATTAATGAACTCCCAAACTGCTGCTATTAATGAACTCACAAACTGCTGCTATTAATGAAATCACAAACAGCTGCTATCAATGAACTCACAAACTGCTGCTATAAATGAACTCACAAAAAGCTGCTATTAATGAACTCTCAAACTGCTGTTAATAATGAACTCACAAACAGATGCTATTAATGAACTCACAAACTACTGCTATCAATGAACTCACAAACTGATTTTGAAGTCCAAAATTGTTAAATATCTGGGATCTTATTGATTTCATTGATAAAACTAAATTACATCACAATGGATTAGAAACTGTAACTTCTTTTGTGTGCACAAAAATATTTTGACACAATTTTAACTTAGATCTGTAAAGTTGTTGTCTTGTAAGTTAGGTTGGTGAGCCAGAGAAGACTAGAGAGTTTTAACAACCTTATTTATTAGAGAGACATATTGAGTACTTCCTATACAGTGTGTATGCGAGGGGAGATAACAAGTAAATACAGTTAAACAGATATTGTTACAACATCCATTGCAATGACTTAAAAATAACAAATTCTAACACTAACATATCAGATTTAATGATCACGCCAAATTTTTTATGTGATGAGAAACTCTTCCATTAATGAATAGAATTTGAATATGTGTAGGGCAATAACTAAAAAATAAAAAATTTCAAACTTCTTAAGCATATGACTTCAAAATAAGTTAAGAGCAACAAAATTCCGCAACTTCTAACACCCCTAAAAATGATCACGTCAAACTTAAAATCAGATAAAAAATGTTGACCTCGCCAATATACATCCAGATTTTCAGGTAAACATATCAATAGATTTCCTACCTTACTGCCCAGTTCAAGGGCCATAACTTTAGTTATAGCATCAACAGCTCCTTTTGAAGCACAATAAACTGTGTGGTTTTCTAACCCTCGGAACGAAGCTACACTTGATAAATTGACAATAGCTCCACCCTTATCAGATTTCATAATCCCTTTTGCAACCACCTAAAACAAAATCAAAATTTAAAAGTCATTCTATAAAAATAAGCCTTATACTTTCTATTGAATGGGTGAAAAGCTAAAAATGTTGCCGATTGAAATTAGTCAAAATTTAGGTGGAACTGAATATCAATGGCCTTAAAAACCTACAAATTCTTTTTCTTAGATATAATATGGGAGATAACTATTGGCAGACTATTTTCCAAACCACAATTGAAAAATATATCATGTAAGTACCACTGTCAGATCCCTGCTGATGAAGTATTGTTTTTTTTTACTCATTAGATTAACACAATTTGTTTAAGTTTAACTTTCACTGCTCAAATCATCTGCTGATAGTAAACAATATTTGTGACACAAGTTGTTCCTTTCATGTACATTCTTATGTTCAGAGGTACCGTAAGAAAAATTCTGATGCCTGTGCGTGTGCTTCCGAGAGTCAGCCTGGTGCCAGCTTCACCCCCAAATCCCTAGTTCTAAGAGAAATACTTTTTGTTTGAATTAGTAGGAAATAACACAATTCAGTGTCCCATTTAAATATTTACCTGTGATACATTGATTAAAGCTTTCACATTCACATTTATTACACTATCAAAATCTTCAGGTTTTACTTCTAAAAACTTGTCAAGTTTAGATATACCAGCACTATTAACTAGCAGATCAAATTGTCCTAAACTTTCTATTGCTGCTCTTGATTCATCCCAATTAGACAGATCAACTATTTTAGTGGTGATATTCTCACACTGAAATGCAGAAACAAGTAGTGAATCAATGGTTAATTGTGAAAGATCAATGGTTAATTGTGAAAGATCAATGGTAAATTGTGAAAGATCAATGGTAAATTTAAAAGAACAAATGTAAATTGTGAAAGATAAATGGTAAATTGTGAAAGAACAATGGTAAATTGTGAAAGAACAATGGTAAATTGTGAAAGAACAATGGTAAATTGTGAAAGAACAATGGTAAATTGTGAAAGATGAATGGTAAATTGTGAAAGACCAATAGTAAATTGTGAAAGAACAATGGTAATTTGTGAAAGATTAATGGTAAATTGTGAAATATGAATGGTAAATTGTGAAAGAATAATGGTAAATTGTGAAAGATCAATGGTGAACTGTGAAAGAACAATGGTAAATTGTGAAAGATCAATGGTGAACTGTGAAAGAACAATGGTAAATTGTGAAGGAACAATGGTAAATTGTGAAAGAACAATGGTGAATTGTGAAAGAACATTGGAGAACTGTTGGCGTTTATTTTGAACATTTCTAAAATAAATGCTTTGACTCAGCAAAAATGGCAAATTGCAGGACACACTTATATCACGTTAAAGGCCACCTACATAGACTCTGAGCAAATTTTTCACCACGGTAACAGCGCAGTAAGAATGCCTTTCTGGTGTGACAGGGTCAGGTGGAATATGCCTTGTATTAGGAATTAAATATGAGTTAGGACTTAGAAAGCAAATAAGAATGTGAGGACAATCGTATGTATTCTAACCCTTGCTATATATCATTGAGCTTTGTTAATCTTTGAGTTTGAGTTAACCTACCGTAATTGAATAATGCGATACCTTCAATGAAAGTGTGTTTATATATTTATCGCTTTGTTTGGCCTTTTAAAACAACATTAATAGTCATCACTTCTCAATTCTCGATAGGCCAACGACTCAATTGTACAAACAAATGCGTTTATATTATAGATGATATCGTGTCAAATATACGGGATGATAATGGTGTCTGTGATGTGCCAAGACTGACTTCAAATTTTTTGCAAACAAGGGGTGCGCATTATACACAGGAAAATGGATTTTTCCCGATTTTAATTAGAAAAGTAAGGGGTGCGCATTATATTCGGAAATATATGGTAGTTGTATTTGACACTGACAAGAATTAAAAATTAAATCATTTTTATTCAAAACCCATTATCATCTGCAATTTTTCTATTTTGATTATTGATATCTCTCTTTTCCTCAAAGTTTAGGCATTCATCTTTTTCAGCAGATACTTTCAAAATTGTAATGAGCGATATAACTTGATCATTTTCGACAAAAGTAGTAAAATAATATATTTACTTCTGCTTTTAAGGAATCCAAATGAGTTTGTGATGTTCCTATAGCAACTGTTTCAGCACCACATTTAGCTAAAGCTATTGATATTCCTCGCCCAATTCCTGAAAAATAAAAATTCACTCTAAAATTTGGTCACAATTTCATGAAGTAGATATTTGTAGATAAAACATTGTAGACAAAAATAGGTGACGCATTTTGCAGCTGTTGTCAAGTTTGTTACTCATGAAATATGGGTTAAAATAAAGAAAATCGTAACAAACCAATTTTGATTATTTTGTAGAATATCAAAGGAAACTTCTAAGACAAAATCGGTGTTGAATCCTTATATGTACGAGAGAAATGCAATAAAATACTTCATAATCAAAAGGGCTTTGAATTCGTCTAATAACCTGTCTACCGGGTAGTTCTCGTACATATAAGGATTCAATTCCTTCAAAGAGCAATGATTTAAAAAAATATAGTGACTGACAAAATTAGGTAAGTAGAACATAAGAGTGATTTATTGCTAAGAGTGATTAATTGCTAAAAGTCATTGACACGAATCCGTTTGTTTATCACGTGACTTCGTTCATTGGAATATATTCTAGAAGACGAAACTTGGAATTCCGATTACAGCATGGGATATAAAGGAAATTCAAACAATAAAAAATTGTGATATTTGAAACCCACATTTTGTTTTTGTCAAAGTATACGTTAATAGATTTTACCTTGTTTGAAACTACTGGATTCATTCTACTAGCTGAAATTGTAGAGATAACCCATGTTTATCAAAACAAGCAAATGGGAGGTTACAAAAGGTCGCGCATGTAAATCATTAATTATTTCCGGAGATGGGCGAAAAATAGGTTGGCACGAAATTATGTTTCTTGACTGTAATTACTGGTAACTACATCACAACTTACTTGACCGAAAGAAAATTTGCATCATAATAATACAGAATGTCACATTAGATCTTTTTGTGACTTAATGTCAAAATAGGATTTTTAGTTTATAATTTCTGCGAAATTACAACATTATAAATGAGGAGGATGGCTTTCTATTGAGTGACATATTAAGAATAAGGCAGGCCTATCAGTCTTACCTACGGTACTCTAAAACCATAAGACTATCCATAAGTTCATAAGAAAAATTAATCACATAAAGACAAATTCTTTTTGACCAACTTATTTCAGTCAAGGACATCTTGAAAGATAAAAACAACAGTGACAATATCATTCAGACATAAATTCACTGCAAACATGTAGGACAGACCTACCAGCTTCAACAAGCAAGCTTATCCTGAGTTGGGCTCACATCTGTAATTTCTTTCAATACAAACATTTCTATCAAGTGACATAAGCTATTACCTCTGCTTCCACCCGTAACCAAAGCTCTTTTGCCCTTAAAAGACATCTCCATGTTGAATATAACCCACAGATGAATATGTGAGCCCTTGTAATTCGAGCAATCGTTATCGATAATCTGAGCTCAAGAGAAAAGGTGGGCGTGTCAAGAGTTATCTTCCTTTTTGTTGCTCTCCTAAATTAAAAGTAAAAAAGGATTAGAGAGAAAACTATGCAAACTAGATTCTCGTAGAAATACAAAAATAAATTTGATTTGTTTATATGTTTTTCTCGTTTTATACTATTTTGCTTAAATGTTATTGATGTTAGTGTTTTAAAACTAATTTGTAGATACAGACATTTGAGATTGTCTTAAGAAATTCTTTTCATATGGATCTGATGAAATATTTGCAACGTAAGAACTGTGCAGATCTACTGGTAGTTAACCAGGACGAGAACTCCAGAAAAGGAAAACACTAGAATTCTGAAGCCATAATTATATAGTCTGCGCTTTTGCAATGTCAGACCTGTGTTTATTTACATTTTAAAACTGTTTTGTTGGTATTTTTCAATGAAACCTTAATCATTATAGCTGGGGTTTGTTCAATAGAAAAAGGTGCGTTCCATTCATTATTTTAAGATAAAATCATATTGACATAACTGTTTACTTCAATTATCAATGCCAATTGAAAATTTGGGAAAGACTGTTCAAAATTGTTCCATTCTTTTCCTTCATGTTTGATTTGTTTTAGAATTTTGGAGTTTTAAACCCAGATAGAGGACTTGTTTTTCAGTTTCTTTTGATTTTTTATTTTTGTATTTTAATTGTCATTATTTTTACAATATTCTTGTGTAGAAGATCTATTCAGAAGTTGCAATTTTGAATAGGCCTACATTAATAACCATATAATATATCTAAGCTTATATCAATGGTCAGAGGTGTTAGTGTTGGAGTGGTGCATAAGTGTAGCACTAGTGTAACACTAAGCCCAACATTGACCTTGATGCCAAGTGTTGGGTGGCACTAATACTATACTTTGAGGTATTTGGGGAACACTTATAACACTAGTTTTAATCTAGTGCTACTTAGCATGAGTTTCCATTTCCATTTAACACTAACCAGCTCAAGATTATAAATATTAGTGTAGTGTTATCTTTTGGTTTTAATCTGGCGTTTTGTAAGTGTTACACTGATGCTATTGTTATGGTGACACTGAGTCTAGGTGCTTTTGTAACATTGCTCAACCGCACAATGTAACAACCTAAAATTCCTAATACTGACACTCAGTTCTGTCCTCACTCAGTGTGTGGAAACGGTTAATCAGTTAACTGATTCTGGGTAGCATCTATTTGAATAATTGAGTTATTACTTTATATTAACACTCCTCTGATATATATGCTGTTTGTTTCTGCTTGCCTGTCAATCAAGGTTTTTAATATTCAAGAGAATTTCATTGAAAAAAAAACATACACTGACAAAACTGTTATGCTGCTTTCGGTTTTTTTACGTTCGCTATCCAAAGGTCAATAAGGAAGGAGTGATTTGATTGATGGAAATTTCAAATATTTCAGGGCCAATTATGATTAGACAATATTTAGCTATGAATTGAAATTTCCCTCACTTGTATTGCCATGGCCTCAAGAGAGTATGATGAAAGGAGGATTGGTTTGGACACGAAGTAATAGACCCCACTTCTCTAATAAAGTTAGATTAGAGAAACAGGTGATTTGAGGCAATATGTAGTTGTATAGTCGATGTATGTAGTTGTTGTTAGAGCAAAAAGTGCTATGTCTATTTTAGTAGCGGTTTTAAAAGTGTTTGAAAAGAAAAAAATATTCTGAAAATGGATATGATTTTACTTGATTGAAGTAAAAATCCTTCCAATTCTAACCGACGAAAAAGGTTTTGATTTAAAATGAAAAATAAACTTGAAATTGTGAATAACATCCCCTACTATACAATGTATAAGTTAAAAGCTTCCATAATTTTGGCAATTCTGGTTTTCTTCACCTGATGGGCACATGAAGACGGGCAATTTCATGTTGTGTGCAACAAGGAAAATGCCAGGACAGCATCATTTGCTTACTCTTCTGTTGTTTTGAATCTTTATCGGGCCTGGCCTGAAAGACACAAAGTCACGCTTTATTGGTCATCCCAGCGAAGCTTTTCCTAGGCCAGTCCCTCAGACCGCATTGAATGTATTTAAATTTTTTTCTTATTTTCAGATCTAAAAGACAACAGTTAATAACCTAAACATACGTCATGAATGGTACCACACTACTAAGACCAACCTTGATGTTCTTCTTTGATTTAGCCTACAGTCATGTTCCAGCCTTCGTCTTATTGACCTTCTCATGCAGTTTTGGCATGTTTGTGTAGTCTACAGAATGATTGTGAAACGGATGTCTACTTTTGATGATTTGTAATATAAATTATTGATCACTTTTCTAATTGCTTTCTCTATAAACAACAAATTAGATAAAAAAAACTTTCATGTTGCTGATAATGACTTTTGGATTAACTTTTTAACTTGGGAAACCAATGTGTTGTTTTTCCAATGTTTATTAGATTTTGATGGTATAAACTGTAACATTAAGGTAAACAGAAAGTCTATCTTTTTTAGTCTAGCAGTAAGTAAAGTAATTGAAATAGTGTATATTTTGTGAAAGACAAACGAAACCTAATGTCGGATTATGTGTCAAACATAAATTGGTACCCATTGTTTGCCAACAAACTGACCTCCATCTTACTTTTCTTTTTCAATTTTGCTTGGAGGACCCGTCTGCGTCTTCCTAGTCTTATTACTGTAACTTTTTTAGCTCTAGATATCAGAGTGAGAATGGAAATCCAGATCTAAACATTGTAGTAAAGAACACAACAATGTGATTTTAACACATAGTATGCTTACTGAGCCATCTCATTCATTTACTTGGTTGAAAATATGTGATTGTGTGCCAACTTTAATATAAATCAGCATGAGTCGAAGTGTTCGTGATTTACGTGACCTAATTTGTGTCTCGCGATTAACATACCGTGAAAGTGACGAGGAAGATGTAGGTAGTGACCAAGAGGAGGTAACTGCAGATTTAGATGCCTTATCATTGACAAGTAGTGGCTCTGATACACCTACAACTTCCTTAAAGGATCCATCCAGAGCAATCTCACCTGACTCTGGATTTGTAACTAATGGGTCTCCAACAGAATCCAACTCCAAACAAGCAGCAGGTTCTAAACCAGGTTCTAAAAAGAAGCGACGGAAAAAATTACATACATTTCCAACTCGACATGACTTACCGAAATCCTCTCCACTTCCTCCATTGTCTTCAAAACAAACTAATCAACCGGCATGTGCGTCTGGGAAATCATCCCATGATAAGGGTAATTTTGATCAGATGATGTGTTTTATGGATGCCACCGTAGTATCTGGTTGGTTAACTCGTGCGACTGACTCTGTAGATGATCTCTCCAAATTTTGTAATGCTAATGACAATTTTGTTCAGTTTGCTCATTTTTGGTTGTCTGATTTTCCAGATGTACAAAAACAAGAAATATATGAACTTGAATTTAATATTCTCATGGAAGAAATAGGTCTGGCGTTTGCTGCCGGTAGAGACAATCGGCAGATAGTGCATCGAGATGTTTTAAATTTAGTATCTGCATTGTTTAGAGAATATCCAGGGAAATTAGTTAGTTCCAAAGGATCACATTTATTTTTAAACTATTTAGATATCATGTCATCAACGAATGAAAAAGACAAGTATCGAAAGCTTTTATCTGATGTTCGATGCTCAACACGGAATAGACAATATGCTCAGTGGCTACTGGCTATTAGATCCTTTGCTTTGGTTAATGTATGGACAGCAATTACAAACTTTTTCCGTAATTTACGTGGAGAACCACTTAACACGACGTATCCCACATCAAGTGCTCCTCCTAATGTTCACCAGTACAGATTTTCACAGGCAATAAGGTAATAAACAATATTCTTACATATTTTAAAGAATGAACGTCATTTTGAAAATCATAAACATCTTAACAGTTTAAATTGTTCATAGCAGAACATTTTCGATTGTGGAAGAAGATGACATGGTATTTTGGCTTACAAAAACTGTACAATTCTTGTATTTAATTAGCGTATACTTAATAGACAATTACAATTTGACTTGATTATCTTTTCGGTTCCTTGCAATATAATTAGACTTGAATTGTCCTGCAGTCATACGTAGAAATGATTTATAATGATTTCCATATTTGGAAAAAAATTGTCCCTTATATCAACATGTCTCTGTTTTTCAGGCATGATTATATTGATGTTATTCACTATTTGATAGTAAGTGGTCGTGTTAATCCAAACTACACAGATAATCATAATAGAACCTGTATATTTACTGCCGTGATGCACAATAAACCAAAAGTTGTACAATATCTTCTTCACAGGGTATGTTAAGTATTATTTTAGGAAACATTTACTCAATTTGACCTAGGAGGAGGTAAGATAATTTCTCCTTTCTGTGAAGTTTGATCAAGGATAAAAAAATTTTTACACAGATTTTATTCAATGGGATTGTTTGAAGATTATGAAACTGTGAGGCACCTTATTATCCTTGTAAAAAATGGATGATTGAGGGGATGTTACTCTTCCATTATTAATCACTCCACTAAATCACATAGGATCCCCCTTCCTTTTTAAAGCACATATATTCAGTCTTTTATAATTTTTCCAGAAATCTTGTTTAAAACCTTCCTTTCTATCACATCAAAGGGTGGGAGGAGTTGGTGGATTATATCCCTAAATATGCCTTGGATAACAATTGTGTACCAGCGTTACTGCAGAATTTTTTAGTGGTCTGAGTGCTATATGATGTTAGCTTATATTTACAGGTGAAGCCAGCTATAGATATTAATTTACCATCAGATACTGGAAATACTGCACTTCATGCTGCTGCTAATACTGGTCATTATTCAGTAGTTAGTGAATTATTATCATGTCCAGATATTGACATTAACTGTAAAAACATGCAGTGTGAGCAGGCCACTCCGATACATTATGCTGTTATGCATGGTAAGTGAGAGTAACTATTAACAAGACAAAACAACCCATTAAACGATTCCTATCCAACTCTCTTGCTGTTACAAAGCCTGAAAATGTCTGTTTTTAAAACAATTCTTTCTTTGACAGTACTTAAACTGTAATATAAGAGGTGGTGGCTCAGCCTTATTTATTTGCAGAAAAGAAAGTTGAAACCATGGTATATGAGACATATAAACTTTTCTTTGTTCTAGGTCATGTGAAAGTGGTTGAGTTGTTACTGAAATCAGGTGCAGATAAAAACCTGAAAATGGGTGGTTTATCAAATTCAATGGATATTGCCAGAGACTTTGGTCATATAGATATATTAAAGATGTTACTACAATAGGTAACATAGTGTGATAAGTTTGGATAGTCACAAATTAATGTGGCCCTCTCACCATAGCGATCAATAGTTGTCTATGGTTGGGAATAAGAACAGTGATCATAAGTTTTGAACACAACAAGTTTTCTTACATGCAAGTAAGTTGTTTTCGGAACTCATGGCAACTATCATTATTATTCGCAATCATACGCAAACGGTAATCACTATGTATGAGGGCGCCTTAAAGGGACAGGTGCGCAATTTTGGGGTTTTGATTTTAATCTTGAATATATGTAAATAGTCTTCAGAAGTACTAGAAATGTACGAAAATCGCATAATTCCTTTAAAAATACTTCAAACTAGGAATATACACACTTTTCCTATATATGTCTTTTCTATATATCACAGAGTATTTTAAAAATTGATGAGTCATTTTAACATTCAATCAAGGATAATTTTGGACACACACCCTTGATTTGAAGGTTATAACTGATTTGCTTAGGTAAAAAAATTTGTTTCTGAGACTAAAGTATGATTGGTCAAAAAAATGAGCGCTTGTCCCTTTAAGATTTTGCCATATACTATGACTATGTATGTTTATAATCTTGTGTTCAGTGAGTGCAATCTACAGCAGCAACCAGAGCTTTGTCATTATATATTCTTTTATTGTACATCTAGAATCAGTATCACAATTTTAAGGAAACTCCGCTTTGTCATAGCATAACAAGTCGACATATTGTGTCTTGACCAAGCTGGATTTGTTCCTTTTGGATAATTAGGGATTACTTAAAATAAAGCAGCATGAGAATAGTGAAACTGTTCATCTAATGCTAGAGATTGTAATCCAATAAGATTTCCACCTAAAAATGGATTCTCAGTTGTATAAATTTATACTGTATTATGAGTATAATCCTCAAATTATTAACCTTGGTCAGTTTATACCTAATCCATTATTGACTTTTTCAAATCTATCACTAGTGACTACTATATAGATGTGTGTATAGCCATCCCAAGATCTGGTTACCTGCATACCTGGATTCTAGGCTTTTCTTGTTAATATTCTTAGCAGTGTACAGTTAAAATGTTCTGTCATGTATTTATTAATGTCATGAAGTCATCATTTTAGATCTGCCTTTAGAATCTTACTTTTGTATTCTTGTTTAAAGGCCATGATTCACCACTTTAGGATTGTTCCATAATCTCAGAATTGTATTTAATATTTACATTGACAAATCACCATTTTCAATACTCTGCCAGAATGTCGAACGGTTTAGGACTAGATAATCCAAAAATTATCTGTTGTTGTATTTCCTCTCATAGACAAGGCATTTTATGACCCCAATTTTCGGGCAGAGGATAAAATAGTGAACCTAAAATATTTTAAAAGAGAGATTTTTTGAGATATTTTTGAAGGAATAATGTTATTCTGTACAACCCAAATCAACCTCCAAAAATGGTGAATCTTAATGGTTAAGCTTATATTTATTTAATATACCCCTAGGATTGTTGAGAATACTTTTTTTCTGTATCATATAAACCTAATAAATTATTATATCAATAACTGAAAGAGTCTTTTACGGGTAGGCTTCAGGTACAAACACAGATCCATTACCTTTTTCCTGGACTCATAGCAGAACCCTTTAATTCTGAAAGATGTAAGGACATGTGACATGTTTCAATGTCATTCCAGGCTCTGTCTATTTCATCAGTATATATAATGCATATCCGAAGAAAAATCGTTTGTGGGCAAGTAGGCCCCACACCAGACCTTGTAGGCTATAACAGCTTTAGTACTTGCCCTCTACGAATTTGACTAGTTGTATTATTGGACCTCATAAAGATGTGATATTTGTAAATGAAACCTTTTGAATACTTAATCAAGCGTTTCATAGCCCCTTAGAAAAGAGGGCACAATAGAAGCTACAATTTTCAATGGATTTTGATGAAACTTGGTGTGAGCATTGGGATTGATAAGATGGTTGTCGAGTTCGAATTTGACGATTTTTCATTGAACGGCTTCTGAGTTATTGCCCATAACTTAGTAAAATAGCTTCAAATTTTGTTTGTGGGCACAATAGAATCTACAATTTTCAATGGATTTTGATGACACTTGGTGTGAGCATTGAACTTGATAAGATGGCAGTCAAGTTCAAATTTGACGATTTTTCGATGAACGGTTTTTGAATTATTATCCTTGTTCTTGAAAATTCGTTCAATTTTTAGTACGTAAACACGCGAGCCTTTTTGAAAATCAGAAGAATCGAAAGGTAATTAGTATGAGTTATTGCCTTTGTTCTGTGAATGTGTGAAAATGATGAGATCTCGAATGAGTTCGAATTCGGCTCATTTCAATTAAACGGATTTTGAGTTATTACACTTGACTTTGTAAAAACGCTTCAAATTTGGCTTGTAAACGCGATATGGGCTACAATGTTTATCCGATTTTCACAAAACTTGGTATGCAGGTATACATTAATTAAATCTCAAGCATGTTCGAATTTGGCTCATTTTAATTGAACTGCTTTTGATTTATTACCTTTGACTTAATAAAAACGCATTGAATTTGGCTAGTGAACACAATAAGGGCTACGGTTTTAAGCCGATCTTATTTAAACTTGGTATGCAGGTATATGTTAATGAGATCTCGGTCAAGTTCGATTTTAGCTCGTTTTGAGTGAACGGCTTATGATTTATTGCCCTTGATTTAGTGGAAACACACCAAATTTGGCTTGTAAACATGATAAAAGCTAAATTTTGTATCAGATCTTAATGAAACTTGGTATGCATGTATAAATTGATCTCGGTCATTATTGAATTGGGCTCATTTTGAATGAACGGTTTTTGAGTTATTGCCCTTGATTTAGTAAAATGCACCGAAATTGACTTGTAAACATGATGGGGGCTACAGTTTTATCAGTATGCATGTATGTATTAATCAGATAGTAGTCAAATTCAAATTTGTCTATCTCAATGAGACCTTGTTCGAATTGAATTACTTATTATCTTTTAAAATTTAAGACATGAGAGGAATGTGATAATTCAATGTTTCTGGGTAATTGCTATTGATTTACAGAAATTGATTGTGGAAAAACTCAGCATAACTGACTGTAAATTGATGAGATATTCAAAGTTTTTGAACTACAAATGCATTATGAGGATTTTCAATGTGAGAAATTTCGTATTATCATGAAGATATTTAATGTTTTTGGTCAAGAAAGATTCAGTTTTCATTTCTGACAGCTGCGAGTGAGTGTGTGTTACCTTGCTTGGCAAGCTATCTTTATGGTTTGAGTAGATACGATACGTTTTTCAGTATTCGGTTTCCGGTACGTTATGGTTAAGAACCACTGACAGATTCTTCAACTAAGATCCCCTTTCGCACAAGGTATCTGGTATCGTGTGTTCTCAGCCTTAAACTTGCTATTACCTTAAATTATTGTTTTGTAAAGTAAACAAGATGTTTTCATAAAATGCATGTTGTCGTTTAGTGTTAGTGCGTCTGGGTCAGATTTTAATTGATTTATCCTTGAGATTAAAGGTATGTCACCACTAAGAGTACATGCCTTAATCAAAATTAAGAATTAACTTTGGTAGATCGTAAAGAGCGGTGTGGTGTATCAGAACGGCGGATAATGCCACACATTAAAACGTTCCTGTAGTATTTACGGTGAGAGGAGTAAAACTAGTATGGAAACGTGATTGGATTGGTACTTGGAATTTAATCCTGTAGGACGAAATATAAATCTAGTACTATCCAGATAAGAAATAACTTTCCAGGTGAAAACACGTACCCCTACTGTGGCTTCATGATTTTTGTACAGGAGTATGTTACGATAAATTTTCACGAATAATGGCCATGCAGGTCACAATTTATAACGGGATGATAAAAAGAGAAGTGAGTATTTTTGATTTCTGCAGGGTTCATCCTTGTGTGATAATAACCGACACGAGAATGTTTTTTTCATCCGACAAAAATTATGTGCATTTTAGTATTTTTCAGATTAAGGACTATCTGAAACATCGAAATTGACCACACTGTACGCTTTAATATGTTTCATGCGGTCGTGAACAATGAATGCTCATAGGGTAAAATCGTTAAATAATGCCAGCAATTCAGAAACCCACCTCCTTTAATTCAATTATGCTAAAACGATAAGCACAATGACAGATCGATGAAAGTTTGAAAAGTCAACAGAGGGGGTGGCTTTATCTGATTTAACTTGAGACGACAACACGCGCATTAGTGGTTATTTTCAGAACAATAATACCTTGATTTTATCGATGTTAATTATCTCTAAAAATGGCAACAATATGTTTTATTCTTTAAAATCGCAAATGACAAATGCAGGATGCGAATTTCGAAAAAAATCTGTTGTAGTGATTACAAGATATCCGAGTTCTTTGATTTCTCTTCGAATAGAAGTTTAATTCGAAAATGTCATGCATAAAGAGTTCGGTACAATTGTCTCTTCCTCATATTTATATGATCAGACAGGGTCCATCGATTGGTAAACACTAAACTCCTTTGCTGGCATTATGTTGGATGTACCTAACAAGGATCAAGATTGGACCAAAACCCTCACCTGCACCAACCACTTAACTATATTGCATTAGAATAATGGGCAGATGCATTACTTTTCCTGACAATAAGACAGGGCTTCGACAGACAATTTAGTTTTTTTTAGCACGGGAACTGAATATCGGACCATCGAATATTCAAACATACCTCTTGTTCAGAATGCATCTTTTAATATCTTGCATAATCATGATTAGTTTTCTGGCAGACCAAAATACTATCAATATTCCATCTTGGTGTACTGATTCCCACAAAGAAAATTGGCGGGAAAGATTGCATCATTTCTCGTCTGATAGACGACTATGACCAACGTAAGAAATTAGTTCAAGTAGTAAGAATGAGTCATCCCCCAATAGAGATCAGATAGACTAATATGTACAAATATTCCACAAGTAAGATATTTTTATGGCCATTTAGTCTTGTCCATTAGACAGATATTTACTCCATAGCTGCTTACATTAGCCATAAATCCGTGTATTACTACTGGTCAGTTCTCCCTAAAAACAGGACGGATGGTGTCAATCTATATCTGGACAAATCCGAAAAAACAGAAATATACGTTAATGTAGGCATATGACTGACCAAACCTGATGATACCGTAACTGTCTAGTTCTCTAGATAATTCAGATACCCTATACTTATAAATAAAACCACCTGTCCAAAAAATGAAGTTGGGTGGAAAATGAATTTGATTTGTTATTACATTGAGCATTATATTGGCATTGAATAAACCTTGGGACCAGATGAAGAGATGCGGGAAGCAGTTTATATATAAGTGCTTTTTTTGCGGATATTTGGTTATTGAGCAAGTTGGCTATTATGCATTGATGGCAATTTAATAAAAGATGTGAAAAATACGTACTGTATTTACGACCACATACCACAGCAAAGTGCATAAGAGACTTGTATCAAAATGCTTATTTTATACTGAACCGTCTGAAATATATTTCTCGGGTCACGAAAGGTCGGACATAACATCACCCCAGTCGACATAATGTTGTAAGTTGAGACAATTCGGTCAGATTGAAACTGATATTGTCAGAATTAAACCGTTCCTGTAATTTCTTGTTATTATGATTTTTGTATGATAATAAAAGATGACAATTGCTTTCAGGCCAATTATAGTAAATATTCTTCAACAACTTATAATACTACAGGCGAGTACGTTTAATCAAATCTAATGAATGTATGCATTGTGGATGGAATGAACAGTACATATCTCTTCTGCAAGCTGAACACATTGAAATATTAATTCCCTTTTTAAGATTTTGTAGGGTGTCAGACGTAATTCTATAATTTCATTGCTCATAAGGCCTGCTTTGTACACGGTCAGTCGAGTTCTGCTCTTGAAGTATAATTCGCGTGCATATACTAATTTTTAGATAAGATTTCTTCTGGTTTGTACCCACTGCTTCATTCGATATTTGATGCACATCCTGTTTGTGGTGGTTTCTTAAAAACGATAATACAGAAAAACGGACAAATTGCATCTTGCATGTATTATTTTTGGTTCTATTTTGGGGATTTGTATACGTGATTTCATGGATGAAATAGTGAAAAATAACATCGTTATTAAACATTGTAATATCATTAAAACATGTTAACGTCACGTAACATAGTTCGACGCAATATGGGGGAGTACCATCAAAGACTTGATCATTAGACAATGTTTTTTTTTTCAAAAGAGAGGCATCACAGACGAACGATTCACAGAGTGCCCGACAAGGTATCGAGACGTTCCACATGAGATGTATAGTTTTTTTTATTGAATGAAAAAGCTTGTCATATAGATCACATATCGTTATAGCTTCCGAGGGTCATTCAAGACAGAGAGGGAGGGATGGTGGGTCACCTGTTGGTTGCAAATAAGAATAGCGGTCATAAGATGTGAGTTGAAAAATTGAGTTACATTATTAGCAACCATATGTAACTAATAATCGCTATGGTGTGAGGGCAACTTTATGTAGATCCATAGACGGCAGATCTCTCAAAAGTGTTCTTCACCAAAGTAAGAAATAGCTGACAAATTCAGAATTATGAAAGAAAGCAATGCCAAGAACATGTGTCCTTGAAAAGAGTAAGTTTTTAGCCTAATGCAACACAGCTGCAAAATTATAATTTCATATTGCATACAAGGAATTAAAATAAGTTCAAGTGCAATTCAAAGAATATCAATTCTCCTGTAATTTAAATTAAAAGTAAAACATCCCCCACCATTTCAATACGTGAACAAAAATATTGTTGAGAATGTTCAAGTAAGGATTTAAGGTAAATAGAACTAAATACAGCTTCCGTCTCACAAGCGATTTATAGCTATTTATATCCTTTTGCGTGGAAAAAATCACAAAAATCACACAGTGGGTGAGGTCAAATCCCGTGTTAGTGTTCCGTGTTAATGTTAACACTGGTGTTAGTACCGAATTTGGACACTAACACTGTAGTTGGAAATTAACACGGAGTGTGTAACACGAACTTACTATCGGTATGTTTTCTTGGATGTTAAATATCACACAGAACCGATCTGTCTCATCTATTTTAACTGCAAAAACATCGACCATGGTTTCGTACTATGCGTACCACTCCCTTCCAACCAAGCTAGCAGCAGAAGACACAATTGAAATGAAAAGTAGGTATGTATTTATTCTCTTAGCACACAAATAAATTATGAAAATAAATTAGAGAGCTCTGGCCGTCAAGTTGCGAAATTCAACGCAGTAAAAATCTCTTAGGGCGACACAAAAGGATCGATAGGCCTTCTGCCCTAAAAAGGTAAAAGACAGTATCTGCAATTTTGACGAAAATGAGTTAAGGGTAACATTATGACCAGCAGATACTATTCTATGATATAAAACAAAATTTACAGGTATATATGAAGAATAAGAAGAGTTATTGGCTGTAAAATTCAACAGTATCTACATTTTATTCAGAGTTACAAAGTTAAAAAGCAGTAAATGGTAGATACTGTCCTCTCCCTCCCTTTCTTAGTAAGTTACTGCCTTTCTCTTCCAAACTAGGTCCGATTTCATATAGAGGTTGTGAGATACCCCTGCACATGGTGGATAAAAACAACATGGATAGCTTATCTAGAGGGAAACAAATTTTGAATTTATCGCTTAAAAACAACTTATCTGATTCTAAAGAAGGTGCACAATTAAAAAATGATGTGGCAGAACCTGAAATGGACCAGAATTGTCTGCTTGAATTATTTCCTGAGGTATTAAATTCTGCAGTGCAATAACACAACAATGAGCCTTCAAGAATAATTCTGAATCTTTATGCAGACATGGTGGCACCAACAACACCAACAAGAATCTTTCTAGGATCTCCAGATGATCTTTTGGAAGAGGTGATAGTAGATACTGGAACACATAGAGACTATGAATATGGTGTAGATGATAATGAAGAATTTCAAAATTCTAATGCTGACGATGTTAATGAAGATCCGGATTATGAACCTGACAAAGACGAAACCACGACAGATGGGCGATTAGATGACAGAATAAAACAACCTAGTACCAAAAAACACAAACCGAACCTTGAAAGCGACCATCCAATAAGAGAACCCTGTAAAAGGCTTGCTTTCAGACGGATCCCTTCTACTGAAAGCATCCAGCTTTTGGCCTTTCGCTCTACCAAGGGTTTTTCTCCCTTTTGAAGCTGGCTTGGAGTTAAAAAGAATTCATAACTAACTTTCCCGCTCTAGCGAAGAGCCGGTTCCAACAAAACACCCCGCCAGTCTAAACCGCCCTAAGCACAGGGGACTCCTCGCTAAGCACCTTGCGCTCGCCGATACCACCCCGAATGCGGCCGCTCTCGTGGTCCTCATCGAGTGAGTTGAACGAACAAAACAATCAAAGAACAATTTTTTAGAAATATTGTTTATTTGGTGTAACACAAGACATACAATATTAACACGAAGAATTTAAATGTCGTGTTAAGTCGAGATAATACCTTTGGATTTTTCAACCCGGTTTCCCCCTGACAGTGATGCAGGTACGAGGGGCTGACATGGAAAAAGCGTCTAGTCGTTCGGATGGGACAATAAACCGAGGCCCCGTGTGCTACAGGCTGTGCACGTTAAAGATCCCTCGACAGTTGGAAATCGAAAGATAGCTTGCCAGGCAAGGTAATATACGCCCACTGATAGCTTTGTTTGAAATTGAATATTTGTTAGAAAATAGCATAGACACCAGGAAATATTCAACTTATACCCAAATCCATCACAAACTGTGCCATCACAAGTTAAAAATCAAACACATTTGTAAGAATAACGGCAATAACTTGTATTTTATATTTCAAAAGGTTTAGTTTTGATTGTGATCAATTTCATCAAGTTGTCAAATTTGTTTTAGACTTCTGCTTTGTAGAATAAAAATTACGTGTTTTACAAGATTTTTGATCAGATTTATCCATGGGTGATTTCAATAAGTCTGTCATGAATTGTGTATTTGCAGATTATATTCAAGCAAATTAGGTTGAAATATTTTTTTAAAAGTTTTATGTATCGAGTTTATGACAGGTGGGAGTTGCTAATATTTACCACCTTTTTTCTCCTGTTGAATTTAATCTTTTTATATCCTTACATTTTTTTTCACGAAGATTTGATTAGTTTGCATGAAATGCAATGGATTTGTAAGTATACTTGATTGCAGCTGTCTTGGCTAATAAGGACAAGAAAAGAATTGAATTTTACTATTATGACAGTTTATCCATTAGCAATAATTCTATAAGTAATTACTGCTCAATGTGCCACAGGAATAAGAACAAATGTGATAAATTAACAAAGTTTTAATTCAAATAATAAAATAAACTAAAATAAATACAAAGCACTGTGTAAAAACAACAGTTATAAAAATAATAATATGTACACTAACACAAATCTATGAAATATACTTATGATCATGCGACTACTTAGGACTGGGCAAAAATAATCAATATATAATTTTGATTATCGAATTTTGTAAATGATTAAAAGTCAGTTAAATTTGTTTTTTTCAACATGATCTGCTACATGGTAATTGGACAAGTCACATCAGATTATATGTGATGATTATACATTTTAGAAATTCTATGAACCAGATATCAATAAATGACCAGTAGCCTGTTTTCAATAATCGATTTCAATTTGGTAGTTGATTCTTGACCTCAGTTTATTGTCAAAGTTGAAGTTGAAATGTTCGAAATGTAATCATATAATCTTTTCAATTTGTTAAAAAAGCTACTTGATATCAACCTCTCAAGAATCAGACCAATATCAACCTCTCAAGAATCAGACCAATATCAACCTATCAAGAATCAGACCAATATCAACCTCTCAAGAATCAGACCAATATCAACCTCTCAAGAATCAGACCAATATCAACCTCTCAAGAATCAGACCAATATCAA